TGTTTCCAGATTTCTACAAAAAAAAAGGAAAAAGGAAAAAAGAATATTGTTACCAAATGGTTGGTTTTTCAGACAGAGAAGAGATCATTCCGTTCATGTCCAAGCCTAGTCATGCTATAAGCGTATTTCGTAAGAGCCTTGAAAGAATTGGAAGCCCGAAGGTATAGAACCTTCATACTGACAAAGGAAGAAGGTTGATCTTGTCCTTAGATATCATCATATCAAGGGTACATCATGCCACCTATACAATTTCCCATTTTTCACCCACAACTATTATGAATTAGAAATTAAAAATAAACATAAAAATTTAAACAAATTACATTGAAGTGTTCATGATTAATACATGGAGAGATTTGTTTTGATTGAAGAATGCATTCAATACTCATAAGATATTACATCTAAATAATAGGTCCACTTTAGACACTTTCATCATCCGCCGCCTCTTGAGAAAAAGGTAGAGGATGATCAAGATGCAAAGCTAATTTGTGAGACATCCTAGCTAAATAATTAATAGAAAGGTTGGAGCTTCTATAAATATGGTGAATAGCTAAACTCTAGTCCTTATGATACACTAAACAATAAAACAAGCATCATTAACGATGTCCTTAAAAGATGAGAATCATCACATCCTTTAGTGATCAACATGATATCCTTGATACAGCCACGGTAAATATCAACAATGCACAAGTTGTTTGCCTGGCAAAGATTAAGGCCATTAATGATAGCAAGCAATTCCGCAATCATAGGAGGGATATAATAAGTTCACAATTGAATCCTTTAATCCAAAGGCCATCTTATCCATGATATTTCCCCCACAACCACTATTACCATTAGAAAGCACTTATCCATCAACTTCAAGGGAAATAGCATTATTCCGAGTTCTAGTCCCTCCCTTAGATTATTTACGCTCAGGACAAGAAGGGAGCACAACTAATGAGATATAAGTCAAAGCAAACTCTGAAGAAGCTTGACTGACCATATGACAATTATGGGCATTCTCTTCATTAAAAGAATGTTTACATCTATGAACCCATATGTCCCAACAAAAGTACCCAAAGAGAATAGGCCAACTAACTTTATTCATGTACCTTTTAGCCACCTCATGATTGAGGTTCTATTTCACCCACTCCATACCAATAAGAGTAACAAAGGAATTCTAGAAATCCTCTCAAACAATAGCTCTCCACCTTTCATTAGCATTTGGACAATGAAGGATAAGATGTATTGAATCTTTAAGAGTATCACAATCAAAAGGGCAATTATGATCTATTATAAGTCCCCTTTTTTGCCTTCACTCATATGTATGTGCTTGTCCTTAAACATAGAGCCACAAATTTTATCTTCTCTACACCAACCATCTCCAAATCATCTTGCATATACTATCTACACTTCATCATATACCTGCAAAAAGAAAAGAATCTGCAAATTTAATAGTAAAACATTCATTCAAAAGTGTTTATCATTTCCTCTTTGCTCATAGGGTAGGTGGGCATGAGTTAGATAATTCATCATATTAGGTTGTAACCAAAGATTGAGTTTTTGTAAATCCTATTGATCTTAACAGTTAACATAGATAGAAATTCTCTCATTCTTGTCAATGAGTCCTTCTTTGCCTAAAACAAGTTCAATAAAGGGGACATTCGATATAGACCAATTATCAAACCAAAAGCTTGTAGAGTGATCATTTCCCGCCTTTTTCCCAAGCCCTCCTTGAATGTCCTCCAAACTTCAAAAATCCCCTTCCAAATGAAAGAAGAGTTTTTCACCCAAAGAGTATCCCCTTTTACAAACCAGGTTCCAACACACCTTCATAACAAAAGCTTCATTTTGCCTCCTCAACGATTTAATACCTAATCCACCTTCTCTCTTGTCTCTGGCAATAACTTCCCAAGACACAAGATGAATCTTCTTGGTATCACTATTCTCCCTAAAAAGAATTTTTGATTCAACTTCTCTAACTCATCTAACAACCTTTTTGAGAGGATCATAGTCTACATGTAATAAGAAGGGAGAGCAAATAAATCTACTTTAATCAGATTAGTTCTACCAGCCATACCCAGAAAATATACCTTTCCAACTTGGAAGTTGCTTTTGAGCTTTTTCCAGAATCGAGGCAAACAAAAGGTAAGAGGCCCTTTTGTGTACAAGGGGAATACTTAAGTTTTGCCTAAATCATGAGTCAAACCGATACCCATTCTTCTACTAAGACCAAGCTCTCTAGAAAAATGCATAGAATTAGAGAACACACCTTTATTTTGGTCTTCTTAACTGTCTGCCCAGAAGTATCACAAAATTTATCAAGACAAGAGAGGATGACAACATGAGAGATTTTTGGGGTAGGAAGTTATGATGCTCAAACTTTTTAAAATTAAAATTTAAAATTGTGAATAAAAAGTTGGGAAGTTATGGTAATATTTAAAACAAAGATATAATTGTAGTGAGATGGGAGAGAGATGTTTGGGTTTTTGGAAGAAATGAAGCATGGATTTTTTTTAATTAATTGATTTTAAAATTTAAATTCAAAATTCAAAATAAGAAGTTAGGAAGGTACCATAGTTATTTGAAATCAAAATCTTAACTTTAGTTTGATAGGTATGAAGTTACAATTTAAAATGTGATAAAAATTTAAGATTTGCCATGATATTATAAGGGCAGCAAAATTTTAAAATGTGAATAATTTATTTACACTTTTGAAAGACAAATAAAATTTAAATGTATATTATATAAACATAAAATCCAGAGGGGTAATTGGGAGAATGATAAATAAATAATAATATGCAAATAAACCATGAGAACAAAAAAATCATTGAAAAAATTTTAAAACACAACGTTTAAAAAATCAAACATCATAGTAAATCAATGAAGAGGAAATTATGATGCTAAATAATTATATATGACATTTTATTCACTATTAATATTAAACAAAGTAAATATTCATGATAGGATTTTTGTAAATGTGATTATTTTCACACTCCAAAAAATATTGTACAGTTATTGAGTTTAGCATGAATTAGAAAAAGGAGATAATGAAGATACACCAAATTGACGTATCATTGTCAAATTAATTTTTTAAAAATTAAATGAGAAATTAAAAAAGTAAAATTTCCAATAAAATTTATTTAAAATTCATTGTCTAAATTTTAAAATGGGATGATGAAGAGATTTTTAGAGATAAAAAAGATACATACTCCTTTCATTCAAAAATGTAAGGCGTTGTTAACCAAATCTTACCCACAAGAAAGTAGTTACCTACTTTTAAACTATTCATATCTTTTTATATTTATTTTTATTAAATATCCTATAATAAATATAAAGTCATTATCGATAGGAGCACCTTAAAAAAAATAATGATTATATCTTAAAAGACTAAAAATACTTTATATTTTTTATCATTCAATTTTTAAAAAAATGTTTTACATTTTTTAACAGAAAAAGTAGAATTTATGTATAATCTCCACAATACAAGATATTTTAAAATTTTTTAAAAAACTTCATAAAATTTTTCATTTAAATTCAATTAAAATGAGAAAACGTTGTCCATAATAAAATTTTTAAAATTAAATTTTAAAATTTTATAATGATATAATTATTGAAAGTTACAATAATAAAAATGAAGATAATGGGAGAGATAATTAAGAAAAATAATAAGAGTTAATGGCAGGATGAAATAAAATAAGAGACTTATTATCTATAAGTAGGGACACTTGTCCTCCATAGAAAGAGACACATATCAACTATACATATATGCTAATTTTTTTTTCCTATTATATATGTATATATAGAAGACAACAAGTGTGTCTGGATTTCAATATAATTGATTGTTAAAAAAAATTGATGAATGGAATAAATTTTAATTATAATTAATTATATTATAACGTGATGGTTTTTGGAAGATATTTTTTGAAATTAATTTTTTAAAAAAATTAAGATGTTTGAATAATTTTAATCAAAATTAATTTAATATGTTTAAATTACAATCAAGGACATGAGTTTTAGGATAACTATTGATAAAATTTCTTATAATATCATTAAATTTATTTTTATTTATTTAACAAAAATATAATACTGGCACTTTTCAGATCTATAAAATTATTTAACACGCACATATATTGATTAACAGTATAAATTTAAATTAGATTATATTATAATATACCATAAATAATTTAATCTATATAAAAAGAAAAGCAAAGCATCCCCCAAAAAGAAGAGGAGCATCGTCCTTCTCTCAGCCAACACCTTGGCTCCCATTATCCCATCAAGCCACCTCTCTTTTTGCATTTTCTATTGAAGACACACCTTAACAGACTAGATTGAGGAAGATGAAGTCACATATCACATACCGAGGAAGAAGAGGTTATAGGTTGAGGAGGAGGGCGTAAGAGATCTGAACCATGTTCACAATGTAGCAAAGAGGGAGGTCACACTTTGATGCTAGCAGCCGCTAGAGGAAGAAGACGCAGACACATTCTTGTGAGGATGTGGGTAAGATCAAAGAATGATGGGTACATGGATTTAGTCACAAGCCACACAAGGGAAGGGGTATATTTGGCAGATTTGAAAGTTTCACAAATAATAAATGTCCTAACAGTTATAATTGATTCTGAGAAGTAGGAGTAATCAGCTTCAAGCGGAATGCGATTTGGGCTAAGATAATCGATCTTATGTACTTCTATTGTCATATCTACAAATTAAGAAAAAAAAATTAAATCGTATAAATTATAACAAAATTTCAAGAGGTCTAATCAAAATACCCTTTTTGCCTTGAGCATTCAAAATAATTAATATTTTATTATAATTATAGAATGACAATTATTTTAAACTATAAAAAAAACTAAAGTAATACATTTTTTTAAAGTAAGACAAAATATAGTGATTTAATATCTCATATTAATTGATGCAAAAAAATTTAAAAAAAAAATGTGAGACCGGTCTTCAATGTCATAAAAGTAATTTCCTTAGATATTATTTTAGAGTATAAAAATGGTTGGTTTTGGAAAACAATTAAGAAGTTTCTTTTTGCCAATCGAACCCTCGATCCGTCTTCCCTCGTCTTAGTGAGAGAAAGGCCTCCCCATCCCTCTCCCTCAAAACCCTATTGCGTGATTTGCAATCGACCTGAATCATGGCCAACAGTAATCTCCCTCGAAGAATCATCAAGGTTCGTATCGATTTTCTTGTCGAGATCCCATTTACATTTCTCTGATCGGTTCGTTTGATTGATGGGAAAAAGGAATGAATTGAAATGGTAATTCGAAACCTTGTGGTGGTTTCGGGTTCTGTTGATTTGTGAATTTCATAAGGCTGAACAACCTAATTGAAAGAAGAACTGCGTAGTTAATTTAAGGTGAATTTCAGCATAGTTTGGTTTTATGTCAAAATATGGCTTCAATTTACTGATAGTGAGAGAAAGAAAAGGTTATACGCTTAATCGGTTATTCTGCCCCTTCTTTATTGTTTTGATCTCCTTCGCTGAGTTGAGTTTTATTTGGGTTTGTTCCGTTTGGATTCTTTGGTCATTCATTCTTTTTGGTTGATTTCAACAGGAAACTCAGCGTCTTCTCAGTGAGCCAGGTGATTGCCTATTCTTAGTTCATATTCGTATCTACCAATGAAGTATGAATATCCCCTACTGAAGTGCTTCTCGCTCTAGTTGTAGAGGGCCTTTTTGTGGAATTTATTTAGTGATATGAATTTCAGCTAGACTAATATTTGTAAAATAAAAAATCATCTTGATGTGTTTGCACAATATATATATATATATATATATATGCAAGGGCTGCCTATTCTTCTTTCTTTTATTCCTCTTGCCAAGTTTGTGTTAGGTATGGATTCAATTTTTTATCATGGGGCTTGCTTGTGCAGCGCCAGGAATTAGCGCTTCACCTTCAGAAGACAATATGAGATATTTCAACGTGATGATCCTTGGCCCAACACAGTCACCTTATGAAGGTAGTATTATATTCCTATATATATGCACTGCACTATAAGCATTTATGTTATATGATCAAATCTTGTTAAGGAATGATCCTGGCAAAATCCTACTTTCTATTCTTGCTGTGAAATTTCCATTTTATTAAACCTTGCTTAGTTGCATGTGCGGTTTTTGCTGTTGGTTTTGTTGCACATGTGATTGAGTGGTGAGGTGGATATTGGAATATCAAATTATATTTGACAACCACCATAGGATGTCTTCTTGGAAGAGCTGCCTTATCTCATTTACTTGTATCCAAGTGCTTCACTTCTTAGGCATTTTTTTATATATAGATCAACTTTAGTATCTTGTTACAGCATTGTTACCTTTTTGTTTGCGAGAAATCTATTCTGCTGTTGTTATTTTCCTCACATTTCTTAATTCTTAATCTCTTAATTCTCAGATGATCAATTTTTATTAGGGGGCATTCTCATGCATTATGATAGTTATATATGGTTTATCACAAGGTGCATGATAGGCTTAATATTGTAATTTGTGCACTGTATATTTAAACTATACCTCTTAAATATCTTTAAAATTGATTATTCTGAGACATTTTCTGATGATGAAATTTCGTTTAAAGTCATTTATGTGTCTAGGCAGTCCTCCTAGTGTTATTTAGCAAGCTATTTTACTTCATCTGAATTTTTTGATATGCTGCTTGCATTCAGTTTTAACTTCTTTAACTGCTCTATATTTGTGACAGAAGTTGTCTTTGGAAGTTAATGATTACAATACTTCTTTTTGGCCTCAAAATACTACATTAATTGAGTTGAAAATGAGGAGGGGAAAGTATGAAATTAAGAAATTACTTTGAATCAATGGTTGGCCTTTACTACTCTCTTGTTTTCAGCATGAGATCTGTGATCTGATATTTTACTCTTTTCATTATTTGTTCTTTTTGAAAGCCATTTAGTACTCCTAAGTACTTGGTGTGGTATTCTGACCATGCATGGAAGGAATGATGATATTTTTTAAACAAAAATTTATCTCTCGTCAGAAATGCAATATGGTCATGCAGCTAATATGATAAAAAAGGGGATTACAACAGGGATTCTGATCAGGCATGAGATCGTGAATTTTTAGCAGTTAATATGCCTTGCTTTCTCTCTGTGATTCACTTGTTGCGAGGTTTAGAACATTTTATTCAGTGGGATCTGATGACTGTTATTCTATCTGCTCATTGGCTGCATCGTGATGCTTGATTATTGTTATAAGATTTTGAAGTTTTAAGGTGCTATTGAGAAAAGGGGGCAAGTCCACAAAACAAGGGTCTGTCTGTTGAGTCTGCTGAGGGAGGGAGGATAATTTCTTGGAATGGCTGGATGCTGAATCTGATTTGTTGGTTCTTTTTCTAATGAATCATCTATCTGGCTGTTGTCTGAGGACTTGCAATGCTATGTGTGAGCAAGGAAGGCATTTATTAAGGACTAGATCTTGGATCTTTGTTGATTCTTATGTGCAAGAATGGGAAGTCTGTATTTTATCGTTTTAATATGGTGGATTGTTAGTTTATTGATCTGACATATGTTTACAACTGTCTCCATTAATCTGGTGACCTTTCTCTCCACACTTTGAAATTTTTGTTTGACTAATATTTTGTATTTTTTGTTTGTATTGCTAGGAGGGGTTTTTAAGTTAGAACTGTTTTTACCAGAGGAATATCCAATGGCTGCCCCTAAGGTATTTCATCTAATAATTTTGTAATTATTTCTATTCTTTGTATTTGTTTGTAGTGTATCTTGTCTGATTCTTGAAGAAGTGATGCTATCAAATAGTTTTGACTATATGTGGTTTAAGTCAATTGATGACTTTGATTTGTTGTATTATTTTCTGAACGTCATGAGATTCGGCCCCAAAGATATGCAATCTAACGAATTGTCTTCTAGTGCAGTCTTAATTTCTTGCTTGCCTCCCTTTGTTGGAACTGAAATACATGACTTTGTGACTCTTTTTGAATATGACGTCTGCTCCATTTCCTTTGAATTTAGCTATTTACTCATAGGTTGAAGTGTTTTGATATTTAACTTTGCTTTGGTCTGGGATTGCTTGAGCCTTGAAGTTTGAAGATTTATTTTGAATTTAGAACAATCATTTGAACAAGCATGATTAGGCCATTGCTAATTTGAGGGATTTAAAAATGGTGTGCCTCCAGCATTTCTTTCCATCTGATTGTTGTTTGAAATGTTCTATGTGGCTCTCTTGGGTCTTTTCCCTTTCCTTGTGAAGGAGTGTTATAATAAAATCATTGTGTTTGTTCTACCACAACCGTGCGTGATTCTGCTGTTTTCTCCTGGGGCCTTTAGCTATTGAATCTTTCGTGGATTTAAATGGTATACATGTAGCATTGGCCCAAAAAGTATAGTACACACACGAGACATCATGTTTTCTATTGTTTCTTGATCAAAGTGTACATTGCTTCTTTTCACAGGTTAGGTTTCTGACAAAAATATATCATCCAAACATTGATAAGGTGCGTTATATTTTATCTACTTTCTCATTCTTCTTCTCCAGTGGTGATCCTTTTCTTACAAATTTGAGTTTTAATGTCAGCTTGGGAGGATATGTCTGGATATTCTGAAAGACAAGTGGAGTCCGGCTCTTCAGATACGCACTGTGCTTTTGAGGTATCATGAATTTCAATCTCAACCTACTTATTCCCTGAAAATAATGGGGTGAATATTCATATAGGTACAATCATGTCATTTTCCTATTTCAAGTACATTGATATGTACAAAGGGACAGTTTTCTTCAACTACATTTTGTGTGATCGCACTGCCAATTTGGAAGTATTTCATTTTGTTTGTTTAAATATAGAAGTCCCTGTACTTGCTCAAAATTGTTTTAGTGTGAAACAAAGAAAAATTAAAACGGAATGAGTGAATGACTTAGATGTTAAATTCTGGCTCAACTTCTGTGTTAGTGGATGTTAGTTTTGGCCATTAAAGCATCCCTCTCCCAGTTAAGAAAGTGAAGAAAATGATGTGAGCAAGCTGATAGAAAGTATTAAAGTAACCGTCTCTTCAACAAAAAGAAGTTTATGAACTGATACTAAAGTTTTTTGGCGTTATTTTCTAGCATCCAAGCACTTCTGAGTGCACCAAACCCCGACGACCCACTTTCTGAGAACATTGCTAAGCATTGGAAAACAAATGAAGCCGAGGCTGTTGAAACAGGTATATTTTCTGCCTATGATTGTGCAAAATCCCTTGTAAAATGATGTCATAACATTATAAATGTGTCTTGTCTCATTGACAATGTTGCTTTGTAATCTGCAGCAAAAGAGTGGACCCGATTATATGCTAGTGGTGCCTAATGCCGTGATGGAAACTTTTGGCCCAAAAAATAACCATGGTTCAAAAAATGTATGCTATTAGTATTAATTGTCAATTTCAAATGGAAATTTGGAGGAATTGGAGTCTGAACATTTGGAGTTATTGTTCCTCATAGATTGAAGTTTTCTGTTTTTTCTTTTCCTCTCCTGGAAGCAGTATCTCGGATCTTGTATGAATATATATATATGATAGCCATTTATCTGTCTCATGAACCATCTGCAACTGCCAAGTAATTACTGATTTTGAATCCTGAAAATCATAGAGTGAAAATTGTGGAAAATAAAAAAAGAAATTTTTCTATTGAGTTTCTTCTTTTCCCATGAATTCTTGCTGTGTGATGTATGTGTATTGTCGGGTTGAAATTACCCAATGACCCCAATTCTGACAAGTTTACACGTTCTGGATGACATATCCTACTGTACCTCACGTTATAGATCTTGATAGCGCGCCAGTTGCTGTGCGCGCGCGCGCGGTATTCATTCTCTAGATTCGCTGCATTTTATTTAATTGTATGGTGTCACTAAGATTCTTTTTGGGGTTCTGAACTTGTTTGGAGTATTCTAAGGCCTTGGTTGAGATGCTTAATGAGACTACCATGTATAGTAAGAGACGAATTAGGAGATAAGTGAGCATAGTATATGTTCCAGTGCAGTAAAGTGTTTTTTTCCCCAAAAAACAAAACGAAGAAGAAAATAGAGATTGTATCTAGAGAAAGGAAAAGAAAAAAAAGAGAGAGAAATGCATTTACCATTTTCTTTCTAGGAAACGTTTTCCTATCCTACCAAACATTACAATAAGGTGTTTCTCTTTCCATGGTTTCTCGTTTAAATTGACGGTTTCAATTCATCCTTAAATTTAGAGAACCAAAATTGAAGAACGAGCAACATGAAGCTATAGTAAATGTAAATGGCCACGAGAATGAACCGTGAGACAAGAATATGGACAGGATAAGGTTCTGATATCAACAGAAGCTTCTTTACCTTTTTTTTTTTTTTGGGTAGTGTTAAAGTAATTAAATAGTGATATCCGACTAGGACCGGGCATGAAATGAACAGAACGGAAAGGATTGGAAGTTAATGGAGAAAAAACAGTTAGGCTGAAAGCAACGAAAAAACCAAGAATTAGAAAAACGTGGGGACAAGAGAGCGAAATTGCAGTCCCAGTACGTTCATGATGGACCTCTTCATGCTTAACTTACTGTCCAAAGCTCCAAGCTCTTCCTCACAAGTCACGACCTGTCGTTTTTGTTGCCAAACGTCAAAACTGGAGATAAGTTGTAACATCAATTCAATGCCGTGACAAAGCATTTGGATGTACCCTGCCACCAACATTATGATTTATTTTTCTCTCTATTTCTTATTACATTGATATTAATATTACATGTACTAATTTTTCATTGAAAATTTTGAATTTTAAAAAATAAGACTGGGAAATAGATTGAAACTCACGTCCTGAATCCGGACCTTACAAAGCAAAATTCACTTCCACTTGATTCGATTCATGGCATCCTCTGGTAAGAATTTGTATTCAAATTTTGTGGATTGAAACAAAATGCAAAAACAGTCCCTTCATGTTAGAGCTTGAGTTGAATCTAATTCAAATTAGTCGGCAATATAGGATAATGAGTGCCTAGACTAATCTAGATTGAGTCAGAATATGACTCTTTTAGACATAGGCTTTACTACTGAAATTGTTGCATTTCAAGGCTTGAATTTGATACTTTTAATTAAGCTGGTACAATTTTCTCACTTGAACCAGACATACAACACTAATTTAGATCTCAACTATTAATTACAATCGAATTACAACAAACTGTATTTAACTGGGAGAAGTTGCTTGCACACAAGTGAAACTAAATATCAGCCACGAGTTCTATATTTCCTGTTTCGGGGTCAAAACGACCTACCACAGTGATGTCGTACACCATACTGCTGATACAGTAACCAATTTTTTTCAAGGAAATAACTTTTAATCCATATTTTACTTACATTTTGCTGTTAATCTCTACATTTTTTTTTTTATATTTTAAGTTTCTACGTTTATGTTTTTCAATGTTTTAGACCCTCCAAAACAATAAAAACTTTAGATGAACTTAAAACACTTAAAAATAAAAATATAAAGACTTAAAATATTAAAAAAAAAGTTCAATGATCAATAATAAATTGCGAGTAAATTATAAAGATTAAAAGTAATATTTTTTTTATTTTTATTTATTTTGACATTTATATTTTCTATCATTTTGCCAAATAAGAAGCAGCCTTCAAGATTCTTCGAAGAGGTAGTCCTTTTCTGTTACTTTGTCTCCAATGATTTTGCTTTACACTGTGGGGCTTCTCCACAGCATCAAAGTCCTTGGATGTGACCAAACACTTTTTCTTAAGCATCACTTTATGCCCAAAAACAATTTTATAAGTTAGAAAGAAGTCTCATGCCCTCAAATATAAATCTGATATGTATAAATAATTAGATTAGACCACACACATCATAGGAAGTTCAAAGCTCAAGAAGAAACACCACTACAAACAAATTGTCAACAATGAAATTTATTAAAGTTTTAAGATATATAGATATATGGATTAATATAATTAATATTTTAAGTCGTGACCGGAAAGAAATGAGGAAGAATGAAACTGGTTAATAAAAAATAAAATGAACTAAAATAAAATTTTGAATTTATGAAGAGATGAGAGTCATTGAATGATAAAAGGATGGACATGAAAATGAATGTGAACAAAGGTATCAATTCTTAACCTTATATTTTTCACATCTCTATCACTACATAATTTTATTTTAATCTACTTTATTCTCCATCAATTTATTTCATTTCTTTTCTTTTCAATGATCAAAATAAAATAGGTCCTTAATCAACTGAAATTAGTTAAATAGCTATATCAACTCCAGTTGAGCCAAACAATATTTAAATTTAACCCAATCAAATAAGTCAACTTCATCACATTTAATGAACTAAAATCATTTTTTCCAATTTTTTTAAAAAACCAGCCCTTGATCTGCTTAACTTCAAAAGAAATCAGATCTACCTAAAACTTGTTCCCAATGACCCAACATCAAAGGCAAGTACAAGAGCCGCAGGCCCAGAACCGACTAATGAAAAATGAGTCCCCATTTCAAAAGGGAGGGCAACATCTTAAATGCCCACATGTGATCACAACCCCACTTCCTCTCTCACAATTACTTGCAATTTTTCTTTTTCTTTTTGTTGGCTGGAACACAAGGTGTATACGGCCATGGCACCAACAATAGAGACTAATCTCCAAGTATTAAGACAAAAGGTAGACTCCTTTCAGCTAGTTTGCCACACACATAAAAATTGAGATTCGAACTTCCAGCTATTTACTAAGATATTGAAAATCCCTCCAACTCGCACTAACTTGACTAGGTACGGTTTCTTGTATTGTTGTCAAGCATCGTCTCTTACCATTGGCTATTAGACAAGCCTACATAAAATAGCATGAATTATGTAGTGGTCCAACTCTCTCTCTCTCTCTCTATGAAGGACACAGGCAGACACAGCACTAAAAGATGAAAGAGTTTCTATCACATCAACCACCTTCAATAACTAAACCTTCACTTAAAAACACATGTAGCTTGCCTTTGCGGTCAAACACTGCACTTGGAACACAGTTCAACTTAAATAACATATCCACCTACTCAATCCCAAAGACCATGTCAGCCTTATCCTATGTAAACTATAGTTTATAAAAAAGAAAAATGAATTCAAGTTCCATCCTCTGTGGTACTGGTAACTGCACAAGATGCAGTTGGGGGGTAGAGAGAGAGATAGGGGTGTGAGATCAAATTGAATCATCTACAACTATACAATGTGACAAAAAAGAAAATGACTGTATGAAATCCACTGCTCTTCTATACACGCTGCCACCCTTTTTTAGCTATCTCTATCTAAATATAGTACATGCAATTACTTTAATGAATGTAGAGAATTCAGATTTGTCATCGCTGTATGGTTATTGAGTAGTCACAAAAACGTAAGACACCACAGCAAGAAAAAGAAAAGGGAAATTTTATTGATTACGTGGCTAAAGATAGAAAAATGATAATAATAACAACATATTCATCCTCATTTCAGGAGCTTCCCACCCATCACTCATTCAATCTCCCTCAAAGGCTACCAATATTTCGTTGGCATGTATCATTACATATATACATGTACAGATCCCCCTCTACCAACAGAACCCCTCCTCTCTCCTCTTTATATTTGACTATCTATCTAACTAGATGGTAATTGAACTGCCGATTAAATCAAATGTACAAACATGTAAAATCCTCCCCTTTCTTTTGTTTTTAATCATAATGAAACAAGGGGACACAATACTAGCTCACCTGGATGAACTGGAAAGAAGATAGAAAACTGACAAAGGGAGAAGGGAGAAGACGGAGCCGGAGAACAATGAGGAATGAATGAATAAATAAAAACTGTAAAGGGAACTAGACGATTTCTGGGTTCCGCTGGCATTGGCTGCTAATGAGATTTATTATTTGTGGTTCTGTTCTCGCTGGGTCATAAGTATCAGCTGATCAGTTTATGGTGGTAACGGGATCAAGAAACTGGAATGACACAAGAAATGGAATAACTTGAGAGTTTAACCTCAACTAGAGGTTTGAACAGCAAGAGAAATTGCACAAGATACAGCAGAGGAGCAGTGCAGGTCATGAATTCTTAAGAGCTGTAATGCCTCACAGAGTGTTCCAACATGTCGCGACTAGGGCATACAATTTCCTTCACACGACAGCCATTCTTGTAGATCTTGAATGTTGGCACAATTCTAATGCTTTCAGCTGTTGCAACTGTTGGGTATTCTTGAATATCCACCTTTAATCAAACACAAAAAATTGCAAGCAATATTAAGAAAACTCCAATGATTCTCTCCTTTAACCTTCATTTCAATATTTGGGGATCAAGAAGATAAAAATTAATCTGCGAAGTACCTTGAGGAAGTTAATAGAAGGATAGCGGCCACATAATGTACCCATAAAAGGTGAGATTTGCTTGCATTGTGGGTTAGATGAAATTTCAAAATGGACCACAGAAACACCTATAAAGCCTAGGGTCAATCTCATTTCGCAGAAATATAGAGCCGACTGATTATTGAAGATAGCCTTCAAAATATCAGTTACCTGGTAATGCTATTGCTGCTCTAAATTGCTCAAGTCCTGATACTCCTTCCACCTCACCACCAAATTTCAAATCATGCACTTCCTCTCCAAGAGATTTCTTTAATGCCAACACTGCATGAAACAAAGCTTCAGCTACTTCACTGTCATCTGGAAGATCTCTCCGCAAGATCTCATAATCTTTGACAGCCTCTGCCCACCTTTCTAACTGCAATATACAGCAATAGGTGACATGAGCTCCCCATGAATATGGCAACAAATTGTATGGCAATTTTTTTCTTTAAAAAAAATATATATAAATACCTTGCTATTAGATGCAGCTCTGCGTAGAAGGGCTTTTGTGTAATTAGGTTGGAAATGTAAAGCTTGATTGCAATCTTCAATTGATTGTTCCCATTGCCCAAGCTTAAACCAGCAGGCTGCTCTATTGCAGTAGAGGACAGAGTTTGAAGGGTCCAGCCTCAAACCTTCCCCATATGCTGAGCAAGCTTCAGTGAACCTTTCAGATTTGAAAAGATCATTGCCGTGCACTCGAGCTCTCGCCACCATCCTTACATTTTTTAGCAAAACAGCAACTTCAATGTTTCGGGGATCAATCTGACCAGCTTTCTCAGCAGCTGTAACTGCATTCTCAAACCTGCAAACAAATCCATCATTCATACACACTCTCCAACAAAAACCTTCTCCATCTCAGATTTCTGATGAAGCTGACAGATTTTGAATTCACCTTCCCAGAGCCATCTCAATCTGAGCTCTCACAAAGAAGGAGTAAGCTTCAGAAAGGATCCCAAAAAATCTTGCTTGTGAAGAGGAGTTAGTATGTGGTTCCAATTTGGGATTGTTTAATAGACTTGATTCAGCATCATCAACTCGGTGGAGTTTCAAAAGGGCCTCAGCTCTACACATAAAGAGCTGTAAATTTGATTGTCAACCACAGTTCAACCATTTTTTCTCAATCTATACGTCAATAATATATTCTATGTCAGATATGACAAAGGAATTATTTTACCTCAGGAGAAGAGTCTGCTCCAGAAGAAATGGCAGCATCAATTTCCGTGAGTACACTTTTCCAATCACCTATCTTCCGGGAATCAGTACATTTCCCAATATGCTTCTCCACTAATTGCAATTTCTGCAACTCAGAAGGATCAGGTGGCAGCCCAGGACAGGAGAGATGTTTCCTGGCGTTCTCAACTTGTCCTAGCCTGTGACAACAAACAAGGGGTCATTCAACTTCCTTATCCACAACTCTGCCCACACTTAAGCGGACACCTTACACTGGACACAGCACTGAATCCAAAATACTGAGATAAATTGTAGTACTCGTAGTTAAATCATGTTTCAGCAGTAGTCTAGTAGAAGATAATTCAGCGAAGGAATCCTCATACAATCTAGTATCATTCAAAACAATCCTTTGCAATGCCATCAATGCAGAAAGCTTTCAAACAAATAGAACTGACAAAGAAATTTGGATTTTAAATTAAAACCAATGCAAAAGAGCAGAAAACAGAAAATTCAATCAAAACCCCTAACACAAACAGACAAAACGAGGATTACACGTTCATGAAACCTAAACACTCAATGACTTCTTGAGATCAGAGATAACTCAAATTGCAGCTTCAACCAAAATCAGATGAAGAAGCGGGAGGGGGGAAAAAAGGAACAAGCCAACCAAATTCACTACTTCCAAAAAGGAAGACGACGATAAGCAGAAAATAACTCATGAAATTGATCTGTGTCACATGACAGGATTCATTCCACAAGTTTACGTATCTAATACTCTTGAAAGCAAGACAATACCCAAAGACAATTCGAAAAAGGGAGGAAAATGATGAAGGCCAAGCGCACCGTAGAAAAAGAGAAGCCAAACGCAGTTGTGCCCTCCCATAATTGGGATCTAACTTCACAGCCTCCTCACACTCCCTCACAGCCTCAGCCAACCGTCCCAAGCCCGTCAATGCGGCTGCACGGTTGGCCCGGTAGGCTGCGTTAGCAGGGGATAATGCAATTGCTCGATCGTATAGACTCAGAGCCTCAGCGAAGTGACCTCTCTTGTACTGCTCGTTCCCTGCTCTCTTCACCTCTTCTGGATCCACAGTCACCACCGCTCGCTTAACTGAGTCAGTGAGAGCACCACCACCGCTCGCCCTCGCATTCGCTGAACCGGTCATCCCTCCTGCAATGCCTTTGGAAGTCGCACCGCCCCGCATTATGCTTCCATGGCCGTAATTTCCTATCCCAGAACCCAAAACGTCCGTTCTGGAGCTCCGACTGACCGCCGCGGCGGTCTTCAGAATCTTGCCGGACGGACAGATGTTGCCTGTAGGAAGAAAATTCGGCGGCGGCGAATTCACGGCTGAGCCTTGACCCGAGTATATTAACGATTGGGTCGTCATGAAATCTGATCTTGCTTGGGAAACTTTTAAGTTCCTGGCATTCCCTGCGGCGGTCGGGCTGTTCTCGCCGGAGCCGGAGAGCTCGCCTGAGTGGTTATTCGGATCATAATCGGATCGCTTTGTGACCGGTTTGTACCCGTTTCGTCCAGAGATCGATCCAGATGAACTCGAACTACTACTGGTAGCAGTGGGCACACTGTGACTGTGACGAGTCCGCAGTGGCGAAACCGGCGAGCCCAAGTCGAGTTCTCGAAAATCCGGCTTGTTAGGTTCACAGCTTAAGGAACCGTGGAATCGGTCGTTCAGAGCATCGAGTCCTAGCTCGGAAATGGGCTTCCCAGAATGCGACATTTTCCCGCGAATCTAACACGGAGGGTGGGTCTCAAATCCTCTATCTCTCTTCTTAATCTTAAGTTTCACAAAAGCTTGATAATGGAACTACAAGACGGTATCCTACAAGAAGCACGAACAGAGAAACATAAAACTACAACTACAAGCTTCGAGGAAGACATGAGAAGAAGGCAAAAGAAAGAGAGATAGGGATGGGGATCTCGTGATATAAAAGAAGGAAGCAAAGAATGAATGTGGGTGTTGAAACTTGAAATTCCAATCGAGAAAGAGAAACCAAAAAACAATGTATTGTTGAGAGAGAGAGAGAAATAGTGGAATTTACACAGAGAAACGGAGAGAAAGGGAACGAGAAGGAGAGGAAAGAAGGAAAAGAGAAGGCTTTTATTTTCTTTTCCTCCTCTCCTTTACCTGCTTCTTCACGAGACAGGTTTCACTTATCTCTCTATACGCTCTTCGCTTTCTCTTTCTAGTGATCAATTTTATATTTTCTCACTTGTCATAATGGTTTTGTTGCCTGGTTTGATTTGGTTTTTATTAACTTTGGCTTTTCTTTTTGAATATGACTTCCTCTTCTGTAATCTTCTTCTTCTTCTGGTCCATCTTTATAAATGATGATTACATTTCTCTTTGTTTGTTGTTTTTTTATTCATCCAGTTCCGTTTGAGTCTTCGTGTGAGAATCTCCCTCTTAATAATTCTTGAAGCCAAAGTAAAGCCTCTCATTCTCACTTCTGTTACTTTCTCTAGCCCGGTATCCTTCATAACTTTATTTAACATAAGGAAACTTGTTAATCTTTTAATTTGAATAATTTTTACATTCTAAAAACAAAAAGTTAAAGGTTTTACTTTACTTTTTTTTTTTTACTCGCCTAAACTTTTTGTATGTTTTATGAAAAAAAATTATATGAAATCGAATTAATTTATTTGTAAGAATTTTAACTGTCTTCTTGTAACACCCGGATTCAAATCAAGGAAGCCCAAATGTATGGGTACTAAGTACGTACATATCTTCAATGTTATTGCTTTTGAACTATGTGTAAACTTTTGTCACTTAGACTTGTAAATCTTGCCCCTGTAGTTTGCCATCTATCAAGGGAAAGTAATAGTGAGCGAGCAGAGAAGAAATCGGTGCAATGACCAATTCAGAGATACGGACGTCCTTGAGCTTTTTTTTTTTTTTTTTGGGAGTTGAAGGTTATGGAAAAATCCGTGCAATGAACAACATAATCAAGTCATGTCATAATTTAACAAATTTTACACTCTAAAGATGATTCATAGAAAATTTCGGAATCAAAAATATTGTGAGAAGCTAAATAGACAAACTAATCAACACATCTATTAGTTTTTCTATAAGTATGTTCAAAAGTGACAATTTAATGGTGAATAATAATATCTCTTATCTTCATGATTGTATTGTAAAGGAGATGATTATGGAAGAACTCATTTTAAATCATTGTTGAAATTTTAAGAAAGTCAGTGAAAATGTTCACTTTTTAAAGCTCTAACATTCCAATACAAAATAAGACTTCTAATGAAACCTACCATTGTATTAGGATAGTAATCAAGAAACTTGGTGAAACTGGTTATCATCCAATTTCCCTCTTCAGCATGAATTATGCCTTCACAAGTTGTTGTTCCATCATTGTTCATCAAATCATCTGCGTCTGAGTTTGACCCATCATCCAATTTCCCATCCGCGAGGAGTGCTTAAGCATTTTGTTGCAACTCTAATGCTCTTAGAACTGACCAAGCCTAGAATTGTTTTATTAATATTGGAATGTAACACTTGACTTTCGATTTATAGAATAGATCACATTTCTCCTTCCAACGGTTGGGCTATGTGAGAAATGGGCGAAAGCATGATGTGCCTTTTCTTCTGTTGCATATAGTTACTTGGTCTATATATTTTGGATTCAACTGTTAAATTTGATTTCAGCGGGCAAGACTTTGTCTGATGAACTTTTTGACTCCCAAAAATATGTGTTTGTATTTATTAGAATCATGCTTGGCAATACTCCAATATGATTAAATTAGATATTCATATAAAAATAAAGTCAAAGATAAATAAAATGATTAAAATAATGGGCTAGCCTTAAATTTTTTTTTTTGTCCCAATCATTTTGGTATTAAAAAAAAACAGTTTCTACAATTAAAGCAATATAAATTAAGAATACCAATGTCAATATAAAAATTAATGTTGAACCCTTTAAGTAAATTCTTGAGGCTTGTAAAATCAATGTGTGTTTTTCTTCACTACTTCTGCATTCCACTATTTATGAACTGCAAATCTAAATCATTTAAATTAAATATGTACTTTTAAAAATTATTAAATCTAAACCATTAAAATTCAATTTAATAATTTGGATTTGTAGTAACTCTTTTTCTACCCTTCTTTGCAGATGAGAAAAACGAACTCCTACAAAATCATATTAGAAAGGTCACACCCTTTAAAAAGTTGAATATAAACTAGTTAGCAATAGTACTTAATACTTATAAGATCGTCATATAAAAATGAATCATTTACATCATTAAATTTTAGTAATTTTTAACATAAAACCAAACACAAAATTAAGTTGCAATGTTATATTTATATATGAAATGAACTCTGTAGTTAAAATCTAAAAAGAAAACTAAGGGTCAGATTTTTTAAAAAATAAATATCAAATGTGAAAGAAAGTGAGAAAACAATCACATATTTTACCAAATTGGTGAGATGTGTCATCTTATTTGTATATTATAAATTTTACAATTTATTATAAAATATATATATATATATATATATTGTTAAATAATATTCTTGAGGTAAAATAGATGCCAATTGTAAATTAAATAAATCTAAGACATAGTTAATACTCCATTTAATATTATAAGACATTTTTAACTTAATAACACCTCCAATGAGTGATTTAATTGCCTTTACAATTATACACTCTTTTCATCTTTACATGTATTTAATGGGTGTCTCAATTTAAAAAAAATATTAATTATACCACTTAATTAAGAATATTTTTAAAAGAGTCTTATTAATTTTACCTTCAAAATTCCCAAAATTCCTTATATTTTTAACATGATATGGTGAAAGAAAATTCTTTATGAAATTATATACTGCCTCCATTTAAAAATATAAAATATTTTTAATTAAATTTACTTATTTTTAAATTTACTCTATTTTTTTATATTTATCTCTCTAAGCACCCTAAAATATATATAGAATAATTTTTTCAATAGGGACACTTAAAAAAAATATTGATTACACCTTTAAAATTTAAAAATATTTTATATTTTTTAATATTTAACTCTCAAAAAATATCTTATATTTTTTAATGAAAAAAGTATAAAAAGAATATAAACAACATTCTAAAAGTACAAAACTACAATTTTTTTTTTTTGATAGGACGAAACTACATATAAATTGATTGAAATTATATTTTTATGTATATTTTTAAAATAAAAATAAAAATTAATTAAAAATATTTATTCTATTGGCAAGACAGGAGCAGCTGGCCATGTGCTGGAGGAAGAGAGAGTGGCGAGCCAGCTTGTCCATCCAGTGCGTCCCCAGGAGTGACAGTGCCGTCCAGCTAAGCAAATGAGTTGACGGCGTTAGTATGGTGATCCCAATTTCCACGTCTCCCCAGGGTGTCTCCGTTACGATGATGGTGACGTGACGTGACCACAATCATGCCAGGAGAAGCCGGGAATGAATGATGACCAGGCGATCCTCTCCCTCCACTCGGATCGGCAAGCATTCCCTGTTTCCGCTCCATCATAGTAGCTTTGCCCCCATTTCACACGTGCCATCACCCAACACCCAATTATTCATCATTTTCTTCAGCCCTTCTATTTCCACATAATTACCCTGTCAGACCGGGGGCCTTTACACGTGCCATCACCCAATCAGAATTTCTGAGATAATTTTTAATTACTTTTGTCGATCTTAAATTATAAAATAATTTAAAATATTATTATGTATTGGTTAAATTATGCAAATGCCCTAAACTTTGAACTATATGCAAATGACCTTATCAACATTTAAAACTTAGTGACAAACCCCTTGAACTTATAAGTTTATGCAAATAACCCCTACCTATCAATTATATATTCTCTTAAATTTTTTTTGTGTACATTTAAACTCTTAAACTTTGATTGATATGCAAATAACTCCCTAAATTTTAAGTTACATGTAGATAATTAATATATAAAATTAATCATATAAAGTTATCTTCATAAATATAAGAGTTGAGAGGGATTCATTATAAAATTTTAAAAATTAAAAATGTTATGTGCATGTGATTCAAAGTTTGGAGGAGTAATGTCAGCCTTATATATATTAATAACATATAATAATGACACTCCATAAATTTTTTTAAAATAAAAGTATAAACTTATAAGAATGTTTTTATATATTTAATCATTACGCTATAATATTATTTAAATTTTCTCTCTACTTAATGGATAATATTAAAAAATATTATTAATAAAATATTTTTTTTAAATTATCTTATATTCTAGAACAATAAAATTCTTTTAATATTATCTTATAATTTGGGATGGAATGAATAGCACAAAGAAAATGTTAATTTTATTTTATCAATAAAAAAGAATTCATTTATTTGAGATACTCTATTAAATAAAAATAAACATAAAAATAGTTTGTAATTTTAATGATAATTAATTAACTCATTAAAAATTATAACTCAATTAAAAGTTCCTTATTATACTGAATAGAGTAAAGAATATACTATATTTTTAGAAGACTCAACTTCAATTAGTTTTAAAAATACTCAAATCTAACTCATTAATAATATTCTCTTCTTAGATTACAGTATAAAATATTAATAATTATTTCACGACTTCGAAAAAATATGTGAAACCTTAGTTTCCCAAAAAATACATTTTTTTAATCATCCTCTTATTAAATATCTTATATAAATCCCGTAATAATGACAATTGAAATTTTAATATATTATTTTTTTAAAAGAATAATGAATGAAGGATGTGCATAGTTAAAAAAATAATTATAAAAACTATCTTATGCCTTATGTTCTGAACCATAAAAGGCTTTTAATTCAAAAAGTATATTATATATGGAGAAAGTAGTATATGCATGTTTCACCAAAGTCTCTCAATCTTACTTCACATATTGGAAGAGAACCCATGTCATGTTACTTCAATTAAAATTATTCATCGAATTCCATGAAATTCAAGATAAGCCATAAATTTGACGTTTCAGATGCCCAAATTAGTAATTACAAGCGAATTTAGTTTATGTTCTTTAAGAGAAAAAAAAATACAAGAGGACCAGGTTAGTTTACCAATTCTTTAGATTGAAGACTTGAAGTGCTTGGTCCAAGCGTCCAGGCTAATTTTCTTAGCTTTGAATCCCATTATTCTTTACCTCACATGCACGTATTCACGTGTGGTTGCTTCAGCTTTGCAATTGGTATATTCATTGGTTTAGCTCATTAATTGATTATTATTGGTGTTGTCATG